TCAATAATTTCACATGCTTCTATGACCCAAGCCTTTGTGCTATCTTTCAGGGGTCTTTGTACTTCACTCTTGTTTCTAGCTAGGAAATAAAAGCCTTATTCAACACTAATGAAACAGCGTTCATCAACAACCAGTTCCAGGAGGGGTTGCTCTTTGCATGGAACCATCCCCTTATTGCCAAAATCAAAACCTTGTCGCGTGTTGCATTCACCCCACAACAGGAAGTTGTCCTCTGAGAAAAATGCCATAATCAACAGGAAGAACTTACCATGCTACATTCTTGCTTGCCCTAGAAGAGAATGAACTGAGTGAGCCCTTCTTTTTTTTTTTTTTTTTTTTAAAACAGAGGCTCACTTTGTTCCCCGGGCAGGAGGGCAATGGCCTCATCATAGCTCACTGCAACCTCAAATTCCTGGGCACAAGTGATCTTCCTGCCTCAGCCTCCCGAGTACCTGGGACTACAGGTGTGAGCCACGATGTCCAGCTGATTTTTCTATTGTTAGTAGGGATGGGATCTTACTCTTGCTCAGGCTGGTCTCAAACTCCTGGCCTCAAGTGATCCTCCTGCCTCTGCATCCCGAAGTGCTAGGATTATAGGAGTGAGCCACCACACCCAGCCCAAGTAAGCCCTTCTGACCTGAAAGAACATTTAACTTCATGTTACTTAGAGAAAGTCAAGTTCATCCTGTTACTTTTTGGTATTCAGGTCAGAAAAAGTCATGCTAGAAATGTTTAGGCCCCTTAAACAACAGTGTATTATTATTATTATTATTGGGGGTGGGGGAAAGCTACTTTATTGAGGGGAACTGGGGACAGGGAACAATAAAGGACATAGAACGATGAGATCCAACGTCTTTGGCCGGGCCAGGATCTCCCAGGCTTTGCAGATGCAGAAAAGCAAACAATAGTGTATTAATTACTGAGGATATAGGCTAAGCTACTATAACCAAAATGACAAAGGTCTCCACAGAATGAAAGTGTACATATTTGTCCTGCATCTAGAAGTCTGTGCAGGAAGTCCAGAGCTGGTGTAGGGGCTCCTCTATCATTTGGGGTCCGGGTTCCCTTCATCCTGTGGCTCTTCCACCCTCAGGTTCATCCCCTTGGCCATGATCTCTGCATCAGCTCCTGCTGAAGCAGCCAGTGGGAAGGAGGGGCGGGGAGGACAAGACATGGTCCTTCCCTTTAAGGGCACAATCCAGAATTCAAAGTTTCTCCCATTTGCCTCTTGCTCTCCAGACAGTAGTCACATGGCCACCTCCACTGGAGGAGAGGATGGAAATGTGCCTAGCTAAAGATCCTGCATAGGAGAGGGAGAGCAGATATTGGAGGACAACAGTCAGCTTTTCTCAAACTGGAAGTCCACTTTTAAGCTCACCTATTACACCAAAATTATACCATGACATATGTCCCAAGAAAAACAAATAGAGAAAAAAATTTAAGAAACAAAAGGCATCCAAATTGGAAAGGAAGAAGTGAAATTGTCTCTGTTTGCAGATGACATGATCTTATACATAGAAAACTTCTTCACCAAGAAACTCTGAATTAATAAACAAATTCAGTAAAGTTAAGGATATAAAATCAACACACAAATATCAGTTGCATTCCCATACACTAAAAGCAAACTATCCAAAAAAGAAATTAGAAAAATGATTCCATTTACAACAGCACTAAAAGAATAAAATACTTAGGAATTTAACCAAGGAGTTAAAAGCTCTGTATACAGAAACTATGACATTCCTGAAAGAAGTTGAAGAAGACAAATAAATGGAAAGCTATCCCATGTTCATGGATTGGAAGAATTAATATTGTTACACCATGCATACTACCCAAAATGATCTATAGATTCAATGCAATCCCTATCAAAATTCCAATGACATTTTTCACAAAAATAGAAAAACAATCCTAAAATTCATATGGAACCACAAAAGACTCTAAATAGAGAAAGCAATCTTGAGAAAGAAGAACAAATCTGGAGGCATCACACTATCTGACTTCAAAATAGATGACAAAGCTATAGTAATGAAAACAGTGTGCTATTGGTATAAAAACAGACATTTAAACCAATGAAACAGAGTAGAGAGCCCAGAAATAAATCCACACATTTATGGTCAATTGATTTTCAACAAAGGTTCCAAGAACAAACAATGGGAAAGAACAATCTGTTCAATAAATGGTGTAGGGACAACTGGATATTCACATGCAGAAGAATGAAATTGGACCCTTATCTCACACCATATACAAAAATCAACTCAAAATGGATTAAAGCCTTAAATATAAGATCTGAAACAGTAAAACTTCCAGAAGGAAACACAGAAAAATCTCCATGACATTGGTCTTGGCAATGATTTTTGGATATGAACTCAAAAGCACAGGCAACAAAAGCAAAACTAAACAATTGGGACTTCATCAAACTAAAAATTTTCTGCTCAGCAAAAGGAAACAATCAACGAAATGTAATGACAGCCTGTGGAATGGGAGAAAATATTCGAGAACTCCATACCCTTCAATAAGGGGTTAACATCTAAAATATATAAGGAACTCACACAGCTCAACAGCAAAAAAACAAAGAACCCAATTTAAAAATAGGCAAAGGACCTGAATAAACATTTTTCCAAAAAAAAAAAAAAACATTTTTCCAAAGAAGATATACAAAAGGCCAATAAGAATGTGAAAAGGTACTCAAGATCTCTAATCATCAGAAAAATGCAAATCAAAACCATGAGATATAACCTCACGTCTGTTATGATGACAATGATCAAAAAGGCAAGAGGGAAGTGTTGGTGAGGACATGGAGAAGAGGGAGCTCTTGCACACTGTCGGTGGGAATGTAAATTAGTGCGGCCGTTATGGAAAACTGTATGGAGGTACCTCAAAAAACTAAAAATGGAACTACTGTATGAACCAGCAATCCCACCTCTGGGTAAATATCCAGAGGAAATGAAATCAGTATGTTGAAGAGATATCTGCACCCATGTTCATTGCAGCACTATTTCCAATAGCTAAGATACGGAAACACTCTAAATGTCTGTTAATGAAGGAATGGATAAAGAAAATATAGTACATATACACAATGGAATATTATTCAGCCACAAAAAAGAAGGAAATCCTGTTGTTTGAGACAACATAAATGAATGTGGAGGACTTTCAGTGAAATTAAGCTAGATGCAGAAAGACAAATACTTTTAAATCTCACGTATATGTGGGATCTAATGTCAAACTCATATAAACAGAGAGTAGAACGGTGGTTGCCAGAGGCTGTTTGGGGGTGGTGTTGGGGAGACGTTGACCAAAGTGTACAAACTGTCAGTTATAAGACAAACAAGTTCTTGGGATTTAACGTACAGCATGGTGGTGAAGGCGTGTTAGTGAATTTGATTGTGATAATCATTGTATGTATTCATATATTATCACCTTTTACAACTTAAACATATGCAGTCTTTATTTGACAATTAAATATTTTTTTTTAAAGAACACATAAATGACTCATGAACACACTTTGTTACCTCTTTTTCAGGGAACATTTTCGCCATCTGCATCAGCCCCGAAGCTTTAGGAAGCAAACCAGGTGAAATGGCCTTCACAGCCGTCCTTCTCCTCTGCACCATTTCACAATGAGAATGCCACCATGGACCGTCTCAGGGCTCACAGTGGTTCCCTGTGGGCTGCGGTTCAGCACCGTGACGCACCTGCGTGCCTTGTGCAGGTGAGGGGCTGCCTTCGCCGCCATGCCCTCAGGCCTGGCCCCAGCTCCCCGCTGGAATCCCAGATGCCACAGAAGAGCTCCCAGACCCCTCGTCCCACGGCTCTGACCCATGCCCTGGTACCCCTCTGTTCTCCCCAGGACACTTGGAGCCATGTTCAAGGGCCTAAGTCCCAGCTGGCATGCTGGGGTGCATGGGACGGGCGACAAGCCTCAGTTTCCCTATCTGTAAGAAGAGGAAGCTGCACTAGAACAGAGATTCCTAGTCCTGGCTGCACTTAAAATCCCCTGAGAGCTTTCAACAGACAAAGACTTGAGCGCTGCCCCGCAGAGGCCAGCCAGAGGCGAGTCGTATCCTCCAGGGGGGATTTGCTGGAACACACTGCCCAGGGCTTCCCTTTGCAGACGCGGATTTGTGGCCAGCTGTGTTTTGCAAGATCTCTAGGTGACTAGAAGGCTCATAGCCTGATATGGGTTGAACTGGGTCCCCCACTCCCTGCTACCAAAATTCATATGTTAACATCCTAAGCTCAGGACCTCAGAATGTGACCTTATTTGGAGATAGGGTCATTGCAGATGTGATTACTTAAATAAGGATACGATCCTACAGGAATAGCATGGACCCCTAATCCAGTAGTACACCTGTGTCCTTACAAGAAGGGAAAATTTGGATGCAGACGCATACACACAGGGAGAGCACCAAGTGGAGATGAGGCAGAGGTCAGGGAGCACTGCTGCCCGCCTAGAAGGCCAAAGAGCACCAGCAGCCACCAGAAGCTGAGAGAGGCCTGGCCCACATCCCTCCCTCACGGCCTCAGAAGGGACCAGCCCTGCCAACCCCTCGATCTCGGACTTCTAGTCTCCAGCACTATGAGACTGTAACTCTCTGTTGTATAAGCCACCCCGCTGGAGGTTCTTCCTTATGGCAGCCCCCGGAAGCTAACATACGGCCTGTGATGTGCATCCCAGCAGCCCAGGGCGACACGTGGGGGTGCGTCCAGAGGTGAGGCTCTGACTGCTGGCCACGGGCCTGCTGCCTCTCCGTGGTGACACGCCCATGCAACCAGTGAAGCGCCAAGGGAGTGGCAGCCCGAGCCAGGCCAGCCACTGGCCTTCAGTGCCATCAGATGACTTTCGGGCCACTACCTCATCCCTATCTGTATGCATTGATTCTTCGTCTGCTGGTAGAATTGAATGACTATCTCTGAAGCATCTTTGTTTTCCAGATGTGAATAGACCCACTATCTCAGCCTCATCTTCCTTCCGGGGGACAGGGTGGGTCAGGGCACAGGGACGCATTTAATGTCACTGGCTCGGGCCCTCGATGGGACTTCATCTGCCATAGTTTTTGGAAGTTGGGCAGTTGATAGAGGCTTCAGAACTCCAGCCCAATGGATCCCAAACTTGGGAGAATGGTGAGTAAGCCCCGCGATGTTCAGAGCCCGCAGCTCTGAGTGGTAGACTTCCGTTTGCCCAGAGAATGCACGTGCTCAGTCGGCCAGCCGGGCACCCACTGTGGCCCGGGAGACGATGCCACTTGCAAATGTTTTTAGGTGCTCACTGTCTCAACCCTAGGGATGTGGTATTTGGAATTCCTTGACCAAGAAAGCTGTGGGGTGGCTGTATGTACTTAAAAATAATTAAGTAATGGCATTATTGTCAAGAAGGAAGTTTATATTCAAATTTTTCATGAACTTAGCCATCTTAAATCAAAATTTTTTCAATTGTTTTTCTCTTTAAAAAATGAGCTTGCATCCTGAAAGATTTTGCCTAAATCGTGGTGACAACAGCCAGTGCGCTGTTAGTCCTGGGCCCAGGTCTTCGGCCCGATGGGTTGGCTTAGGAGAGCTGCCCGGACGAATCCCCCGGGCTGTCCTCTGTGGGGTTGCGCGGCGCTGAGTGCCGAGTGGCTGGGAAGCTTCCACCCAGGAAAACAGGCAGGCGATTGCATTTGGCTGTGCTCTTTTGTTTTTGTCTGTCCCCAGACTGCTTGAAAAGATAAAATTCATGGACCGTTTATTTCCATTACAGACACGCTCGCACACACACACGACCGAAAGAGAAATTTTCAGAATTCTGCGGAAGGTTGATATTAGAAGATCCTAAAAAGAAGTATTGAAACAAATACATGCCAAATGCAAAGGTGGAAACACAGGAAAAGAGTAGACGCCAGCCTGACAGGAGGCAGATTACAGAAGTGTGGTTTTACCCACCTAGAAAACCATGAGGTTTCTAGATCATGCCACAGAATCGCCGCTCTGAGAGAAAGAGCTCACAGCCTACTGCCTGTGCCCACTTTCTATCGCTAACTTATTTCCATTGCCTTCTGCCTTTTTCTAATGCAAAGAGAGAATAGAAAAGAATCAAAGTCTATTCGTGGGACCTTGAACCCAAGACTGGCCAGTTTCCTTTAATATGTCACAGATTAAATGCCCGGCAGCAGGACCCGGCCCTGGTCCCGGCCCAGCAGGACTGGGTGAGGCGCAGCGTGCCAGTCCGTGGGACGCAGAGGGGGCCGTGCGCGTGGCACTCGCCTCCAGGCAGGGCGTGCACGGCCAGCATCCGTGCGGCGTGGCGCAGCCACGCGCCTCCTGCATGCCCCGAGTGCACGCAGTGCCCAGGTGCATCCCCTGGGACCAGGCAGCTTCTCTAGGGGGAATGAACCAGGACACACATCACCATACTTTCCCACAGTCATTTTTCCTTCCCATGAAAAGCAACTTTCTCATTAAAACCATAGAGCAGAACGTCCATCTGCTGAATATAAAAGGCAAAGCATAGTCTAGAGGAAGGTGAGGAAAATTATGCCCACTCGGCTGCAATTTGCTGCAATTTGCTGCCGTTCCCGCTAAAGCCCGCACTAGGGCTTTTGTTTCTTCAGTCTTTAGTGTGAATAGCTTTGGGGTGGAAGCCCGGGAATCTGCAATTTTAAAGTGCACAATTCAGTGGTTTTTAGTGTATTCGCAGACACGCGCAACCATCCCGCGTCCATTTGAGAGCATTTTCACCTCCTCGCAGAGCCCCGCACCCTTAGCCGTAACTGTCCGGTTCCCCTGTGCTGCCCCACGTCCCTGCGCAACAGCTGACCTGTTTGCTGTCTCTGCGGAGCTCCCTGTCCTGGACTCCACGTGAATGGTGTCATAGTATGTGGCCTTTTGCATCTGGCTGCTTCAGCTTAACGTGTTTTCGAGGTTCATTCGCGTCATGGCACGTGTCTGTGCTTCATTCGTTTCCGTGGCCAGGTAACGCTCCACAGTGGGGCGAGACCACGTGTTGTTTGTTCATTTGTCTGTGGTTTCCGCCATTCGGCAGTTATGAACAATGCTGCTATTAACACTCACGTCGCAGTTTGGGGGCAGACATATGTGTTCATTTCTCCTGGGTACGCGCGCGGGAGTGGAACTGCCGGGCAGTGCGGGGACTTCGTGTTTAACTGTTGGGGGAACTGCCAGCCGGTTCTCCACGGAGATCACACCGTTGTACATTGCCACCCGTGGCGTGCACGTGTTCCGGTTTCCCTGCATCCCCACCAGCGTTTGCTAGCTGACTTTGTGATTCTGGCCGCCACAGTGGGCGGGAAGTAGTGTCCCGTGTGCTTAGACTTGCTTTTCCCTGATGGCTAACGTTGTTGAGCATCTTTTCATGTGCTTATTGGCCAAGGAATCTACATTCTTAACAACGACCCTCCACCCCACCCCTGCTCAAGGAATTCTGACAGAGGGGTTCCACTTGTCACTCTTTGAGAATATTTTCAAGTTCAACTATAGAAAGTCCCCCTGGAGTTTTCTTGGCTTATTGAGTGGTATGTCTCTTGCTCCGAGATTCTGAACTTGGATAGATATCAGTCCTCATTTTATCTAGGGTTCAGCTTGTGCCTAACTAATCAATTCTTCTGTTGATTTGCACAAGATAGGATCTGGTTTCCCCTCCCAAGCAGGCTGTTAAAGCTAACAAGCGACAGATTACCGCCGGAAAGTGCATGACATTAGCCGCGAAAAAGGTCCAATGAGAAGGTGGATTTTCACCCCCCTCATAAAAGAGCCTTCCCCCTCCGGCAGGGATTTGACTAAGGAGATCTACCACTGTTTGTTCCCGTCGACATTTAGTTCTTCATATTAATAGACTTCCACCTTACTGCAGAGGACGCAGGCTCTGTCCAGAGCCTGGCTCTCCAAGCAGGCCCGGGCCGATTTCCTCCGCACTGAGCTGCAGTTGCACCATTTCCCGGCGGGTCTGAGGACGCAGTGCAGCCGGTGCTGGAAGAGCGTCATCCTGTGCAGAAGGCATCTCACCCGTCCTTGGCAGCCCTGCTTGCCTGCAGCCAGGAGCTTCTCCAGCTACGGTTTCTCCCACCAAGCCTCGCATCAGTGCCGCAGGGGGAGACCAGCCCCGAGCGCCATCACCTGCTCCAGGCCAGCGGTGGGGTCAGCAGTGTGGCTGCAGGCGTGGTGGCCTTGGGCTCAAATTGGCCTGGGGCGCTGCCTGCTTACCAAGGCTCAGCCTCCTCCTGCAGCCCTGTTCTCTAGTTTAATGGAAGGTTTCAAACATGCACGAACATAGACAGGTGAGCACAAGTCCCCATGTGCCTCTCAGCCAGTCCCGACAATTATCGACACGTTCCCGGCTTGTTTCAGCCAAGCCCGTCCGAGTCTCCCCGCTCCCATGCCCAGATGACCCCACAGCGAATCCCAGACGTTTCATCATTGCATCTGCTAGTCATTCAGTACGCGTCAGACTGTGCATGTGTGTGCGTCAACAATGCCATCGACACACTGTGAAACAGCAGTAATTCCTTTATATCGACAGACACACAACCTTCAACCTTTGGTCAAGTTTCTCCTGTTATCCCATGAAAATGTCTTTTTATAGTTGTCTTTTTAAATCAGAATCCAAATAGCATCTACACTTCACCTTTGTGTGCTATAGCTTTTAAATCGTTTTTATTTTTATTCGTTGCTATCCTCTCTCTTATTTTTTTCTTGTCCTTTGATTATTAAAGAAGCCAGGTCATTTTCCTATGAAAAAAATCCACACGTGTTTGATAGTAACTGTTAGTGTTGTTAAGTTTCTGTTTTATTTGATAGTATGTATACAATCTTGAGTTTGAATTGTTCTGTCGCCTCAAACAAGCAAAGATTCCGAATAACTGTGAGTGGTTTGTCTTGTCTTCCTCTATTTCTATTATAATCTGCATTTTTAAAACTTAGCAAATGTTATTTTTATCATCATTAAAATACTCATTTTTTGAAACAATGCATTATATTTTAGTAAAGAATAAAAGCAGCTCATGGTACTGCTTTTTTATTCTATATCCTTGATTTTCTGCCCAGTTTAAATGTCTGAGCTTTGCCCTGAGTTTCCGATATGATCTGAGTTCCTGGAGTGGGCGCCGTGCCTCAGCCCGACCCCCCATAAATGACGCCACGTGCAAGAGGGAACGACAGCATTTGCCTTGGAGAACTTTGGTGAGGACCGGAGCAAGTCGGGAAAGTAGAGCCATGATTAGAAGTGAGTGAGTAGCCCACTCATCCTCCATGCATGACCCTGAGCGGCTTCCTAACCCCTCTGATGCCTCAGTTTACTCACCTGTGAAATGGAGCAGCAATAGTATCTGCCTCATAGGATGTCGGACTGGTTTGGTAAAATCATTGCCTTTCAGGGCTCAGCACAGGCAGCCTGTCCTTCATATATGTTATCAATACTAATAAAAATATAAATTTGACCTTATTGCAAATAGACGTGACTTCTAGTAATGAACAAATCACGTGACGTATGAAGTCACTAATTCACTCCGGCGTTGTAATCTGAGGAACGCTGTAAGCATTCTGGATCGGGCTTCCCGTAAGGTGATGCCGATTTTCTTGCACCGCGGCTGTGTAGCACAGTCCACGGGCAGTTCCAGGAGAGCCCTGGCCGTCCCCCGTCACTGGGACGCACCTTTCTGTTGTTCGCTCCAGAAACTTGCAGCTTCCAAAAGCAGAGGGGAGAGTGGGGCTGGGGTCCCATCGCCTCCTAGAGGCTCACAGCGAGGGCAGCCCGGTGCCCTCCTGGGGAAGGAGAGAAAGCAGCAGCACAGTTCAGCCACGGCAGGCCACGGCCCAGAAAGACAGCGGACAGGTGCCTCCCCAGAGCGGGCCTTGGGGACTGTTCTAGCCTCTGAGCAGTTTGTCATCTGCTGCTCACCAGACAGGGAAGCTGTCCTGGTGACTTCCACTCCACTGGCTCTAGACTCCAGCAGGTACAGAAGATTCTCGCATGGTGTCCTGGATCTTACGGGACATACCTGTGTCCCAGTGGCCCAGGTGCCACCAGGAGCCCAGGGCTTGCCGAGGGGCATTTGTTGGCTGGTGCTGAGAGTTTAGCTCCTCGAGAGGTCTCAGGAGGAGAGAAGGGGTCAGGTGGGGGGTTCCAGCCTCCATCCTCCCCGTCCCAGCACAGAGCTCCTGCCCCAGAAGGAAATGCAGGCGTGTCATTTATGGGATGGAGCCGGGGCCTGTGCGTTTAGTCTCACTGTTTCAGGGCAGACAGGAGAAATGCTGGCGCAGGGGACTTGAACCCTAACACTCGTCCCAGCCCGGCACACAGCATGGTAGGTAATGTCTACACAAGAGGAGGCAAAGGACTTCTGTCCCCAGAGCATCTCTCCACTGGCCCCACAATGCCCCAGTGTCCAGTGTCTCAATCACTCTTTCAAGCAGTTACAACCCTCCCCCTTCCCAAGCGCTTCGCTCGGAACAGAGGCGCCCTTCACGGCACACGGCGCAGAAGAGGAAGCACGCTCTGCTTCCGGCAGCCAGCTGCACCATGAAGTTGGGCACACTGTCCCCTGGTGACCCCCGAAGGAATGGGATTCAGAACACCCTGAGGGAATGGGGTGCATTGTGAAGAGGTGAGAAACAGCATGAAGAGGAAGCATGCACAGATGCGGCTCTCCAAAGATCGTAGGTGAGGAGGTGGCCCTTGGTCTGTCCAGAAACAGCTCCAGTGCCCTGGGATCCCAGAGCTGGTGGCGCTCACAGGAGAACTGTGTTTGCACGTTCCAGCTTCCCAGTGTGCCCGGTGTCACCAACTCGGCACCTTGTACGGCAGGCCAAAGGTGCCAGCAGTAGCACGGCCCTGGGGCGCCTGGAGGCCCAGTCCCTGCTGGCAGCGCAGGGTTCGGGTGTTGAGCTCACGGAGGTGAGTAATTCCTGGCCCTGGGTCCAGAGGCTGAGGATCTCCAGGACACAGACATTCGCGCCTTTCAAGGTGTGGTGAACAGAGCGGGCAAGCTTTAGGTGAGCCCTCTCACCCGCGCCCCAAGCCCGCTGCCTGGCTGTTTGGGAGTGTTGCATCAGGTGGCATTTCCCATGGAGCCTGCGTGCGGAGCCTGGCTCAGGGCCAGGCTGTGGGGACGTCACCCTCCAGGAAGGAAAATCACTGTAGGGAGTTCTGATCAAGACACAGCTTGCGGTCACCCTTGAAACTCCCCATCCACTTCAAACTAAGCAATTACTGTTGTTCAGAATGTTAATCAAAAAGACGCAGACTCAAAAACATAAGAAACATCCCTACTGAACAGAAACAGAACCACAGGCTGAGCGGGGGCCAAAGCTGCAGCCTCGCTGGACTGTGGGTCTGAAATAAACCATGGCATCAAGAAGTGAGACCCCTGCAGAAAAATCAGGACCAAAAGCAGCTGGGCACAGGGGCAGCCAGAGCCAGCGCCGTTGCGTGCAGCCCAGGGGCTGGTGAGTTCCCCAGGGTGACAACCCAGCCCTCCACGGAACACTGTTTGGGAACTGAAAGCCGCCCATTTAAGACCTGGACCTGCCTGGGCACCTTGAAGCACCAGGTGGAGGCAAGCCCGGCCTCTCCAGGCAGCAGCGATCACAGAGAGGGGGGATAAAACGGCTGTTGTTAAGTGTACGGGAAGGACTTGCAGTAAGAAAAATAGCCCACACGATTTGTCAGGAAGTGGATTTACTGACGCTGAAATGCAAACCGTAGAACGTGTTTAAAATGGATAAAACGAAGTGTGTTTAGATTCTTCAAGACATGAATGAAAGAGGAACACCCAAGTAAAAGAATAAGAAATCACAAAACGTAAACAGGCACCTATGAATCAAGAACAGATGGGTGTGACAAACAGCCAGTTAGAAATCCGGAACATGAAAATCAGTCGCCGAGATGTCCGAATGGTGTCGGCTCCGGACGGGGCACAGTCAAGGCGAGAACCAGTGAACTGGAAACATCACGGAGAACGTGCCCGGGAAGCAGAGCAGGGAGAGAAAAAGAAAAAAAGAAACGCTGAGAAAGCGATCTGGAGAATACATGATAGAAAGACTCCGAGTGCAGTAGGAGTCGGGGAAGAAAAGAGAGGAAACGCTGGAGAAGTAATATTAGAAGCGAGAACGACTAAATATTAAAAAGGGACACAAATGAGTCCAGTTTGAGGACGGCCGCCGAGGACGCAGCAAGACAGATGACTGTGTCAGATGCGTCACAATGACACTGAGGGACGTCCAGGATCACATCCGAAGTCACCCGGGAGGAAGGTGCGCAGGCATCAGCCACCGCGCGGGTGTCGCGGCGCCGAGTGGCGAAGCGCCGGCGCAAACCCCCGGGGATGCGGAGAGGGAGCCCGGCGTGGGCTGGCGCCGCCGCACGGACTTTCTAGAAGAACACGAAGGTGGCACGGCTTCCGGTGGGTGGGGAGAGGCAACAGGGACCCCAGGCAGGAAGCACAGCGAACAAGGGTCCAGTTGTGGGGTCTCAGGAAATTGCGGGGACTCTTGAGACTGCTAGGAGAAAACAGTCTCTACCCAAACACAGATTTTGCCTTGTCCTTATGCGTGTTTGTGGCTGGATGGTTCTGTTGGTAGATAAATGTTGCATTTCCTACACAGTGTTGAAACAGAACTGGTTGTATCAATGAGAAACAACTACTTGTGTCTTCAG